TAACAGAACTAATCGTAATTTTAGTAATAGTAGAGATAACGAATCATATGAAGAACCTCTCCCCCCCCACCCTGTTCTAACTGATGAATGGCTCACCCTCACTAAAATACAACATAAGCACAAACGACTTTATAAAAAATAAAAATAAAACACTAGTCAATGCAGTCTGTTAGATTAGGGGCTAACCTAACCTTACCAAACCTAAAAGACCGTTGACCGCATTACCCGAGTCCTGAGCGTACCCCTTGACCGCATTACCTGAGTCCTGAGCGTACCCCTTGACCGCATTACCTGAGTCCTGAGCGTACCCCTTGACCGCATTACCTGAGTCCTGAGCGTACCCCTTGACCGCATTACCTGAGTCCTGAGCGTACCCCTTGACCGCATTACCTGAGTCTTGGTTACCCAGCCCCCCCCGACCGAGGGCCCTGACACCGCATTACCTGAGTCCTGAGCGTACCCCTTGACCGCATTACCTGAGTCCTGAGCGTACCCCTTGACCGCATTACCTGAGTCCTGAGCGTACCCCTTGACCGCATTACCTGAGTCCTGAGCGTACCCCTTGACCGCATTACCTGAGTCCTGAGCGTACCCCTTGACCGCATTACCTGAGTCCTGAGCGTACCCTTTGACCGCATTACCTGAGTCCTGAGCGTACCCCTTGACCTACCTGAAGAATTTCCCCGATCCGAAATACCAATGCTTATAATGGTAGTAACAACTGATTATACCAATAATTGTGGTAATAATCCAATTGATGATTATGCTGATATCGAAAATAATTAAATAACTCACTAAATGGTTTGGGGTTGATTAATCTTTTGTTCCATTAGATTTTCTTAAAAAATTCAAAACAAAATAAAAAAAGATCTGGGCACACATAGGATCAAAGTGCAACCTGACAATTCTCTTGTTAATCGACCCAGAAGTGAAGGAATGATGTTCATTTTACTATTAACATCTCGCGGTCACTCGAACGCTACTTGGCTGTTCTGATGAGGATGGTTTATCTCAGGTAAAATAATCTCTACTTTCATTACAGTATATACAATGACTATTTAATTCTTCTTTGTCAACTAACCACTCAGGTTTCACACACGGTAGTAATAAAAAACTACCAATTTTCCCCAGCCATGTTTATCGTCCGTGTGTAGTTCGGTTTGTCCCTCCCGAAGTTCTCAGGCAATAACTGGCTGGAATAAATATTCGCAGATTTGAACTAAACTTGGTACGCATATAACTCGTGGACTTTGCTGTGGCATGGCGGAGGATTTGCCCACCTCCTGCCTAGTACGGTATCTCCCCCTTCAATAAAATTGCATTTGCGGAAGGTCAAGGGGCTTACTTAGATATTGTAACGTAGGTAACCGTCGTCTCCTGTAAGTAGGCAATACCTATCCTAAAAATGATGATAGTAATTATAATAGAACCTCTCATTAGATAGCTAACGGTATCTCATAGGCAGTAGACAGTATCAACCAGGGAGGTTCTACCCCCTGGGAAGATATTGGAAGCATAATGTATTGTTTAATGGTAGACCCTACTGCCATCTGGCATCACAAAAATTGTGACCAAGTCCCAGGTTGCTGATCTGACTCTCTGCCTCATTTACACACAATTGCAGGGTCTCAATTGTTTCTCTTACCTTAACAACACATATATCATTTCTCACTCTTGATTTTTGTTTAATTTTGTCCATTTCTGTATTTACTTTTGGTTCAATTTATATTCCCCCAGGCACCAATGTGGATAGGTGACCTGTGCCCGGGTGGGCTTAAGCCCTGTAAACACGCCACGAGACCAGTGAGGTATGTGAGGCAGCCGCCACTGTTGACAAAGTAACATTGTTTATGTTTATGAATTCGGCCCACGCGCGGCGATCATCGGTCGTGTCATGTGTTCCATTGTAACTCAAGGTTGTTGCTGTAGAGCAGCAATCTTATATTCCCCCTCTCCTTTTTTGTCATCCAAGTTCCACGAACTTAGAATTACGTTCATTCGTTGTATTCCAAATGTATTTTTGTCAATAACGTCGTAGGGTGTGACACCCCGCCAATAGTTCTGCTTGTGGGTCTTGAGAAAACGGATTCCATCATTTGTATAAGTTTAGATAACAGGCACTAACTATGGTGTCACCGACCGGCCACTGATGATAATAGATTGTTGACTCAAGCAAGAAAAGTTTCATTTAGATAGTAAGTAGATGCTGGTGCAGACTTAGATAAATCTACACCTGTACGTGGCCAGGATGTTTTATCTGGGGGATAGGGTCATCAGGTGTTGGGCGGATGGGGTGTTAAATATGTAATACACACAGAATAATTAAAGATACAATATGTGTGTGAATCACATTTATTCAGTCCACTTAAGTTTTATTTGAGTTTGATCGATGGCGTATACACATAATACAGCATACGTAATTACATATAAACATACAATGATTCTCCTTAAGGTTCATAGGAGTTACAGCCTTCAAAGAGCATAGTATTAAAAACCTGACCTTTATGAGGACACACCCAGACATCATTGGGATCAGCGAGTCATAAGGCAGAGCAATGTGTCGCCCACCATCCACTCAGGGACACATCTAAAAGAGGTTATGGTGTACTAAGTAACTAATGTATCTCAACAACTACTTGACAGTAAGCAGTAATGGCGCACTAAATGAAATGGGATCATCAAAATCCATTTGGTGTAATTTTATGGCACAAAACAAAAGCAATCTGTCAGTAGGTGTGTGCTATAGTGTTGACTCATTCTCGGAGGGGGAAGTCGGGAAAAATTAACTCCGGCCAGCGTCCACTACAGATTTTAACAAGGAATACATTTTAAAGTCGAGGGGGAAAATAGTTGAGGATGAATACTATAACTTCAACCATGGGTATTATCAGCTCATAAGGGACAAAGTAAATATAATTAACTGGGAGATATCATTAAAGAAGAATCAGATATAGAGGAATCATTGCCAAAAAAAAAATGGTTTTCCTTGAGACAACAATAGAGATATGAACCCTGTATACCCCAGAAACCAATTTCATTTTTTTTAATACCTGTTTTACTGGGAAGCCGCTGGGTCCTTGAATATTAAACTATAGGTGCAGGCCCATTGTGTTTATGTCTGCGGACGCTATGTATGCAAATAGTTATAATAAATTGTATAGGTTTAGGACATGTCCCCCTCCCCCTCCCTCGGCCACGCTGGTGCTTCTGTACATGCAGTATACCTGCTTGAGTTGTGTACTTGTAGGCTAAGTTCCAACAACTCCAGTTGTATGTTATATGTACCTGGGGATGTTTAGGCCTAAGTTACCCCCCCCCCCCCTCGCGCCTTCCTCTGCCCTGGAGCAATTTTTGTTGTTGTGTTATCTAATCTTGAATTGTTGAATTGAATTGAATTGAAACATTTTATTTAGTCAGAAAAATACAGATACAAAGTGGATAATAATAACAATATTAACATGGTTGAGCCAGTTGAGAACCTCAGCTGTCTTTGAGGCACCTGATATATACTATACATCTCATATACAACAGCCACTATTGCATGACATTACTTTTGGGTTGATAACCTTGAACCCTTGTTTCCTAAATTCAACTTTTTTTCTTTCTTGTCCCTTCCGAACAGATACGACGGTTACGTATATTTATGTGACAGTTTTCAGTAACAGTTACAGATAGATTTAAATTTTGTATGATATCTGTTGATGGTGAAGGTGGAGGTGAGTAGCACCAAGAGGCTCCCTCCTTAAGCACTGTAGAATAATACCTCAGCCGCGTCTTCCTACAAGGCATCGTAGGCATAGGCTGGTTCATGATGTATGGCCACAGTACTGTACTATTATCATGATAATGATAGAAGATTGATTGTTGTCCTTATTACTTACAGATAAAACATAAATAATGACTATTGCCAAGATACAAAATTTTTCGGCCTGAATGAACAGTTTTTTCAGTTGGTGGTCACGTACGAAGGGCAATAAATGTGGCATTTTGCAATCTGAATTGACAGTTGTAAAACATAAATTAACAAATATAGCAACAAAGGACGTAAGGGTCCTATACTTTGCCTAACACTTTTATAATAAGCTAACAAGGATTTGTAAGTTCTTTGGAACGACGTGTTCCATCTAAGGTGGTAGACGCTGACCTAATGGCCATGCCGAGGAAAGGAGGCCAGTAGCCTGTGTAGGATCCCTCCATTGTTTTTGTATTCATATTATTAAGGGCGTCACTGAAGCCCTGTAATATTGTTCTCGTTTCCACGGCTTGAGCTGATAGATATGTTCTTTACACTAAGTTTACCATCCGTGTGTAGAAATATTTCCAAATATTTGTCTTGCAGGACGCAAATTCTGTTCAGTGTAGTTTTATTTATTAATATTTTCATTACATGTTGCCTGAGTGTGATATACCTGACACACTCACTGGTGTAATTCACAATCCATCATGCTTAACATAACATAATATTTGTCACATTAGTCATATAATTTTGTATTTATTTTAAAGAAAATGTGTCACATATTATATTTCCGGTTCTTAACAGGTTGATGGATTATTTATTATGTCATCGTGTTTATTATGTTTTATTGTATTGTTATGCTCTTAAAGAGACAATCAGTGCGGCTATGACAAATGACAAGATTTATTTCCGCGCCGGATAAGTGAGATCCATAAATCAAGTATCGCTTAAGAGTGTGATCAAAAATTATTGATTTATAAATGAAAATAATTCTACAATCCTTAGCGAAGGTACTTTTTTCGTGAAGACATGAGAAAAATCTGAATAATTTAGAAAATATATAAAGTGACAAAAAGTTAAAGAGATTTAGGAAAAATATCTGTTCAGGATATGAAAACGTTTATGGAGATATAGCTGCATAGTAGTTTTACTATGACATATCTGTTTAATAAATAATATTTTGTAATTAGTATTAGTTAGAATTTATAAACAGTTCTAGAATCGTAGTAAATATTAAATTTCGATCCCTCCATGGAGCATGAACCACATCTCTACTGCGCATGCTCACAACCGGTCTCAATCCCTCGTCCGATTAACATCCTACATCATCATAAATTCTCAAATTGAAGGTTTACTTTGACAAATAATCATACATTGCAGTGATATAAAGTTTAATGATTATTATATTTACTTGAAGCTTTTAACGGTTTCTTCAAGAATCAAGTGAACATAATAGATATATATTTTTTCCATGTTGTGAAGATATTCGGACAGTTGCCATCAACCAAACCAATGTGAAACAGCAAGTAAAGACACTCCACCAACACTCTTGTGAGAATTACTCATCCTTAAACCCAAGGAGGGACGTATGTGATCACTGGTGACACGGGGGGCCCCTGGTGAAGGAAGTCATTTAAGTTTTGTTCCCAAAGTTACGGAAATAAGGTCAAAATGGCTAAGTTGGTGGGTGTTTACGACGACCAGGAGGAAGTCAGGCTGGGAAGACTACAACTTCCCCTCTCTGTATATGATAACAAAATAGTAAGTATGGCAGTACAATCATTCCTGTAGTGTCAGTAATTAAACCACAGCCTCACATGATGGTTAATGGCGGCCCCGGTGATGCTGCTGGAAGTGAAATGTCACTGACACATCAAATCAACACACGGAAGGACACAACTGATGGAAAAAAATTGCTGACCTTAATTAATCAGTTTTGTAATGTTTTATTTACTTTCAGATGTTTCTGTGTGCTGCTATTAAAGTGCATTTACCATTCATAAGTATGAGCTGCCCCAAGGAAACATAAGTAGTCTAAATTTAAATGAGGTTATGTTTGTATGTTTCTGGTAACGTTATTAATTTGTATATCTTTCTGTATGATATTAATATTATATTGCCAAATTGAGCCAAAACTTATGAATTAACTTACAACATTGAAATTGATATAAAAATATTGAGCAGGTTTACCAAATGACTAATGTTAGAATCCATTTGACTTGTTCAAAAGTAGGTCATTGCCTTTGCATTCTCTGATGAACAGAAGTAAGCCATCTCTGAGGTATTTCTGGATTTAGCGAGAGTTTAACCTAACTTAGACATTACTCAAATTCTAGGTTAATGATTAAGGTACAGTTTTACGGTAGGAAAAGTTATGTTTATTAACAAATATTTATACATGGGAATTTTACCATAATGTTGTTTTGATACTGCGGCTAATTGTACAGACAAATCTCGTCATGTTTTGTGAAGGCTGAGAAGTTATGCTCTTCATAGCTCTTACTCGAGGTTAGGTTAGGTTTCTCGAGAATCATCCAATTCTCGGCTGTTGCTAGAGATAGCATGATGAGATTTGTCCATGTAATTAGCCTCAGCCTAGTTTTGATGCATTGAATTTAAATACAGAATGGGTGTTTACACTCAACAGTAGAGATACTGCAAGTGTTACGCCCAGCCATCAATGTACAGTACCATGCACGTTATTTGCTACTGATCACCGGAGATTCCATCTCTTAGTATTTTTTGTAACAGTATCTGGTTGCCGAACTTGGTATTATTACAGTTTCAGCCCCAACTCGGTTAGAGCAATTTTTTGTTTACCATTAGTCATATCTTGTCAATAGGGTTAAATTTTCTAATACTACCACTTCCTTCGCAAATGGATATTAACCAAGACACTAAATTCACGTAAGAAATTAGCGTAAATCTGCAGTCACCGCATGTCACCTGTTTGTTTACAACTGACTCGTAAAATTACACCATGATGCTTAAACAAAGTTGCTTTGATTGGTACCAGAATATCAAAATAATTAATTTCTGTTTACTATAGTGGGGGACAGCTAGGAAGTTAGGTAAGGTTAGGCAAGTTCCTTTGGTTGGTTAGGTCAGGTTGTGTGGGTGGGTGATAAGTTCAAAATGACTCCTTTTCAACGATAATGAAGGTCAAATTCAAATGAATCGCACCAAATACCATGGGAAAAACAAAAAAATTTGGTCGAACAGAAGTTGTGGCTGAAACTGTAAATTTACCCCAAGCATTATGACATGTCTATGGAACTAAGTACAGTACAGTATATACCGTACCAGTTTGATCCAACAGGAGACAAAATAAACTAACTTAATGTAACTGACCCAAGCGTGTGCTGTTGTTATTATGTGGAGATCTCGTTATTTTTGTTTACACATGCTTTTCTTTTTCTTTCAATGATTGCATTCAAAACATCAAATGAATACATGAAGGAAGATTGTCTCAATACACCATATTCCATATAAGAAGATGAAATGGGTATTTGCAGCTGATAGTGCAAATAATGATTTTTGGCATTTGCACCCAATTTTTGCACTGACACCCCTTGATGACGAAAATCTGGTGCAAATAGATAAACCAATATTTGAACCCGATACTTCAACACTTATTATCAAATTTTATAAGAATTTTGCACTGACAAAAAACTCTGGTGCTGATAACAGTTTCACTATCTCCTTGTTTAGGTTGATTAGGTACCAGATGTCAAAGTAAGTTCTTTCTGCTTAATATGGGGATGCTGGACAACTCGTACTCAAGCAAATCGTACCCATCAGAACATGTCAACTCGTACCCAATTTAAGAGACAGTTCGTGTATATATATATATATATATATATATATATATATATATATATATATATATATATATATATATATATATATATATATATATATATATATGATTTGTTCAAGACATCTTCGGAGCAGTTGCCTCTGAAGATGTCTTGAATAAAGACTAAAGCTAAGGTACTCCGTTGTTTCCATTTTCCCGTGTGATTTTATCAAGATTTATCTTATCCACGCTGTGGATTTACATGTAATATATATATATATATATATATATATATATATATATATATATATATATATATATATATATATATATATATATATATATATATATATATATATATATATATATATATATATATATATATATATATATATATATATATATATATATATATATATATATATATATATATATATATATATATATACAGTTCTCGTTTAATGAACGCCGATTAACGAAATTTCGGTTAACGAACTGCCTTCCATAAGGATCTTCAATTCGGTTAACGAACAAAAATTCGGTTAACGAATTTCTTACGAACCGACCTCAACATGTTTTCGCTTGCACTGGCCGGGCAACCAGCTTTAGTATCAGTCCGCCAATACAGTAATCGGTTTTAGGGCTTAAATTCCTTACTATTTTAGTAAATATCAAGAAGTTTATACTATTCAATAATTTTAAAAGTTTAATATTAACTTTTTTTAGTCATTTTAACAATTACTGAACATAATTGATGGTAAAGAAACTAGTTTCTGGCGTGCCATCCAGCCTGTTAACACACCAGACAGGTGTTAGTCTCTCTCTGTTTTCAGTGGAGGTAACATCTTGCTTGAGACTCTCTTCAACTAAACGCTTTTTTTCTGTGTTTCCAAGCAAATTATTGGTCATTTTGAAATATATTTTACATATTGACAATATATAATGCAGTGCAGTGTTGATTTAAAGAAAATAATCTTGAAATACACCAAGAGAACTAAAATTTTATGGGTGAAATGGTGCCATGGGGTGACTTCTCTTCCACCCCAATGCCTTCTCTTCTTCCTTCTCCACCCCCATTCTTATTCCCATCATCATCATCATCCAGGAGCCTTCTACATACACACCTCAAAGTAAGTGAACTTTTCTACCATTTTTGTTGAATTAAGGAAATTTTCGGTGAGCTGGAACCAATTACCCAAAAACCCATTGAAACAATGGTTTCGGTTAACGAACTTTTCGGTTAACGAACGACCTTCTGGAACGGATTGAGTTCGTTAACCGAGGGGTCACTGTATATATATATATATATATATATATATATATATATACGGGTGCAAATAAAGAAAAAATATTTTCACTATCGAGTGAAAATATTTTTGGCCATAAGAAGATGGCACCCATATTCTACAACTTAAGTAAATTAAGTAAGGAAATAGTGTGCTGTAGTTATTTTACCAGAATTCCTGTTGGATATTAAATTAGGTAAATATTCATCTATTTTGCACTTAAAATGAATCATATTTGATAAATTTATATCTATTTGGCATGAGATGTGTCCTTTTAAAATGACTTTGAAAGAAACAGTATGTACAGGACTGTACCGTACTGTATATGCATGACCATCTGCGAGGGGGATCGGAGTTACCAGACCTTTCCTTGGTACACCGTTTGTCTTGTTTATCCTCTTCACTATTTACTGGATCTTAGTGATGAGAGGCAAGCAGCTATCACAGTACAGTACCCCGATAAATCTACCTATACCTGTACACTAATTTGCTCGTAGAAAGGAAATCCAGTTTGCAAGTGTTTCACTTAATTTCCACAATGTGTCTTGTTAGTTATTCATTTGTTGTCCATGATGGCTTTTACCAAACAAACAGTGACATTCATTAAGTTTATTTATTATTGTTAGGTCATATTGGAGCCTAGTCGGATTGGGGCCCATTTCACTCGCAAACTACTGCTACTAAACAGAATTTGAATTATCGCTAAGTGAATGATCGCTAGATGGCACATACCTGTATATCAAAACAGAATAGTGGAGGATTACTTATTTAACATGGTAGTATGGTGGTGGGGTAACCCTCACAATTTTCCCTCTGGATGAATCTGTGATTGGATGACCGGCCAGCAGGAAGACGCACTCTCAGTGTTTACATTTGAGTTACAGTACCCTAACAACATTGCAAAATAGTTTTGAATATGAGGGATATACAATATTATTAGTAGTTTGTAAGTTTGAATACCATAACTCAGTTACAAGATCGCCGAGTGTGTAACTTACGAGGAGTTTTAAGTATCCGGGCCCAGATGTGTACCAAGACAAATCATATGAATTGTTTTACAAAAAAATGTCTTTGTACAATATATTTATACAATATCACAATTTTTATTTCGAAAATTTGCCCCATTTTTTGTAGAATCAAATTTTTGTGTTTGGATTAGGGGTCTTCTTGAACCCCCAACTGTTGTTATGGTGCTGGAGGTATCACTGGTTTATGGGACTTTAGGACTGGCCTGCCCTTGGGGTTGTTGTATGCTGATGACTTAGTGCTGATTGCAGATAGTGTATTAAAGAGGCAGTGGAGAAATTCAAGAAATGGGTTGGATGGAAGGGCCTGAGATTGAATGTGATAAAAACAAAAATACTGATTAGTGGTATGGGAGAGAGGGACCCATGGTGGAAGTGACCATATGCTGTCATCAAAGAAAGGGCTTGTCAGCAACTCCATAATGTACAATGAATGTGGAACGTGGTTACACTAGAGTTGCAGTGGAGTAGATAACAAACTGCATGATGTTGCTGATTTTCTGTATGTACACTGTACATACAGAAAATGGGCACATGGGTACCTGTACATTGTACAGGTACCCATGTGCCCACAGTACGGCTGGAGAAACTGAACATGGGGATATTTCCCAGGACTGTGTCGATGAGTTCTGTTACCTGGGTAACATGATCAGTGCTAGTGGGGGTGCTGAAGGCCTGTTTAGCTGCAAGAGTCAGAAGTGGCTGGAGGACGGCAAAAGGCCCTTCCCTTCGTGTGAAAAGACGAACGTATGAGATTGGCACGAGGAGTGTGATGTTGTATGGCAGTTAAAGAGGAAGACATAAACAAGCTCGAGTGAGCTGAAATGAGAATGTTGAAGTGGATGTGTACATTGACAGAGATATATTGTGATTGAAGGGGGGGGGGGGGATGACTAGCGAGACTTATTGAAATGTGCCTCTGGACGTAATCATAACAAAATACTAAATTCTTTATATTGTTTTAGAAAGCATAATCCTTTTTACACAATTAATTTGAATGATTCTTACCTTTTATAATATAAAGTCTTTCAGCGAAATAAATCCACAAGTTCACACATTGATGTGTCTCTAAAACTGAAGTGACTTGCTAGGACTGCCTTATTATATATGAACTGACAGGCTGATTAATGACACCCTACATTTTTGTTTCAACCTTTGTGACCAGAAGCAGGTTGACCCCAATTTCACGAGCTATCACATCTCTGAGGAGGGGATTAATAATGGCCTGAGTTGAAAAATACTGCTTCTAGCTAACCTCACTGTTAGGTCTCAGGTAGGGGAGGGGATAACAGGCTCTGCAAGACTTTGTCATTCTCTTTGACGATGACCTGAGATGACAGGTGATGCTGACATGTGTAGCCCGGGAAGTTAACCTGGTCACAGTAGCTAAAGTCAATAGTAAGAGAAAGGTCGCTCAAGTCACATTTCCTTTATTTCTTCCTTAACGTAATCCTTTAGATCACCCAGGGGTGAGTACAGCACCTACCGACAAACAGAACTGTAAATATGTACTACACACAAAAGTTCTCTCGCCCTGAAAACTTAGGAACATATCTCATATCTTCATGGCGGACTAGATAATTATCCATTACATCCTTCACATAAAATCCTTAATACTTAGGGTTTCTCTGAATCAGTATAAACATGGACTGAATACCTTGACTCACCAGTAACATGAAAATAAACAGAGAAACACCTCAACCCCCTGGATGTCACACTGCTTTTTCCCTCCAAAACAAAAACATCATCATCTCGACATACACTGAACACTTTTACCTTAAGTCCTGGTTTACAATAAGGTTTGCATCAACATAATCCTATCGTGAATTGAGGTACTGTACTATATACTGTACAGTACAGTATACAATACTGTACATCTAATCTGACATTGCAAGATGTTCTTTAGTGAAGCAGATCATGATGTTTTTTCTTTAATTTAAATAAAATATTAAAACTAACAAGTAAAAGATGTCATTAGTTGTACAGGTATTGATAATATTCTTTAGTGTGGTTACTGTACATTGTATTTATACTTTATTAATTTATTTTATTGTAAAAGTTTTTTTTCTTGCTCATTTACCAGATGACAATGCAGCTCGGAGAGTCATGTGATGGATGTGAATTTACCGGAGGCACAACAAAACGGCGATGTGATGAATCCTTCACAAGACAGTACAATGCTCTGAGCAAGGATGAAGTTGTAGCTGCTCTGATGGTTCCTTCGAAAGTGTTGTTCACAAGGCTGGCTCAGACGGTGGCGTGTGTTGGCTGTCGGAGAAGGTTAGTTCATAGACTGTAGTACATCGCCAACTCCCGGTCAGTCCCGATTTGAAAGCTTTTGCCAGACTGGGAATTGACAGCTGTGATTGATCCTGTTTGTCTTGTACTTTACAGCAATTATGAGATCTGACAAAGGTTATGTTTGTGTAGTGCATGTTACTATAAATATAAGTGATGAGGATTAATAATATGTGCAGTACCTGTACACTCGTAAGGGGCGATGATAGTTGTATGTGATGACAAATGTTGAGTGATGAGAGATGGTAGTAATATCTGGACTCATATTTGTAAGAGCAGTTATTGAGTTCAGTAACTTGAGTAGTGGGGATTTGGCCAGGATTTTAAGACCATTTACCTTTCTGCAACATTTAACCCCTTCACTATAGGGACACGACTTTTAATATTTTATTTGGCTAACTCCATATGATTTTATTCAGCTCAGAGGGAACCCATATGCAAGGGGTTAATATATCGTGTGAATTTGCATTTCAACTAATTACTTTATAACTTGTACAATACATATACATGTACAGTAGGATCTCATAATTCGCGACTAATTGGTACCGGTTTTACCGTCTCGAAAGTTAAAATCGCAAAACGAGTGACATTGAAATACATATAAATAAGCCTAATCAGTTCTGTGGTGTCACCCAAACCCCCCTGTAATGACCTACAACCCACCAAGAAAATGACATTACAGTAATGTATTCATGCATGTTATATTGTACATATTGTTGATAACAATATTTATATACACTCATACTGTAGAATAATTTATCTTGATGGAGTCAGTGAAATGCTTGACGGGGCTGGTTGATGGGTTCCGAGGCAGGGAGGGCTGGTTACTGCTTCCTCCCTGCTCCCTCATCTACACCTCCTCTAACCTCAGCATCAAATCCCTCAAAGTCTTGAGGCAGCTCTTCCACCAGGAAGTTGCCCAACAATTCACTATCATCATTGGTGGTGCCATCATCACCTCCTAAAGCGATGATTGTCAAGGCATTAACAGGCTGGGCCTTGCACAGGTAGCGAGTAATAAGGGCATGTACAAGGCCTTATATTCCTCCATACCCTTAACAAGGGCAGAGCATGTTAGGTTCCAAGGATGAGGCCTGGTATCGTATTCTTTTAGCTGTTCACTGAGACGTGCGATGTTTGTGAGCAACTCACTCAGCTGGCGTGCTGTAGGTTCACCAGGCTTAACATAATCCTCTTGTGTTGGTTGATGGACTTCTTGTTCTTCATCCTTCTCCAACATATCTTTAGTTGTTGGTTGCTGTTGATGTTGACCAACGATTTCTTGCAAATCTTCCACCTGAACATCTGAAAATCCCGGTGCTGGGACTGAGCGCGCTGCCTCCACTGTGTCCATTAGTGTTGCCGCCACGGACTGGCTCTCTCCGCTTGCCACGGTCTGTTCTGCCCCACTTATCTCGGAGTTAGCGAACAAAGACTTCCATGCGTGTAGTACTGTTGCAACATTAATCTTACGCCATGCCTCAACAGTTCTGTCCACTGCATTTTTAATAATATATTTCTTCCAAAATTCACAGACTGATAACACTTTATGATTGTGGGGAGGTGAGGTGCCAGGAGTCAGGTTGTCTACCATCTCCTCCTCCTCCTCCTCCTGGTTAGCTGGTAGAGCCTGGTCACTCAGAGTTCTGCCTCGATTTGTTGTAACTCAACTAATGAGTCTGCTGACAAATGTCTTTATAGAATGACTGATAGAACAGTTTAACATTACTGATGAATTCGTGGTCAAGTGGCTGCAGAAGCGATGTGGTGTTAGGAGGAAGGAAGATAACTTGTACATTAGGGTGGCGTCCAATGAGAAACTTAGAGTGTCCAGGAGCATTATCCATCACCAGGATCACTTTGAAGTCAATGTTCTTCCTCCAGCAGTACTGTTGGGCATTAGGAACAAAGTGCTTGTCAAACCAATCGGTGCAGAAAGACATTGTAACCCAAGCTTTCTTAATAGACGTCCAATAAACATTGAACTGCGGCATATTGGCACGATGGTAGGCTCTAGGATGGGCAACACGGTTAACAACCAGGGGTTTCATCAAGAAATCTCCACTTGCATTAGCTGTGAATAAAACTGTAATCCTGTCTTTTGAAGTTTTTACACCCGTTGCTCACACTGCATAATTATATGTAAAAAAAAAACTGTCAAAAGAACACCAGTTGAATTATCTCAATTCTGTTTTCACCATGAGTTATTATATATCATGTACAGGGCAATTACCGGGTTACAAACGAGTTGCGTTCCTGGAGACGTTCTTAAGTAAAAAATGTATGCAAGTCGAAATTCATACCCTATGTGCATGCTGTACTTACAGAACAATACCCTGTACATCTAAAATCACTTGATATAAGAGAAAAGAAGAATTAGAATGACAAAATACAGTAAATGAAAATAAAAAATAAGTCATCAGGTAAATAAAATCCCTTAATTTTTTGGTAGGTGGAATGGCATTTCCTCATTATTTCAAATAAATCTGAACTTCCAATTCTCTGAAATAAAACTTAGTATTTTGGTCACTGGTGTCTGTGTGTATAACAGGGGGGATGGGGGGTGAGAGCTTTATGAAGATGGATTTGTGATGTGTGAAGCAACAAGGGTTAACCAGAAGAATACAGTGATATCTCCATTAGCCAGAACAATTGGTGTAGAGCACTTCCAGGAATGAGAGATTTCTGGGTAACGAGATGACTCTCATAGCCGGAAAAAATCCCTCGTCCACGGAATTTTCTCGTTACTGTAACGGAAAATTTTTCTCAAAGTTCCAGAAATTGCCCATTACATCATCTCTCGAACCAGGAAAAATATCCCCCATCCCCAGAATTTTCCGGATACCGGAAAAATTTTCTCAGAATTTCCGGAAAATGCACCTGATTTTCATTTTTCAAACCTTGGAAACTCCCCTATCCTGGTATTTTCTGGGTATCAGGAAATTTTTTCCAAATTTTTCTGGAAAATCGTTCCCAAAGCCAAAATTTTCTGGAAAATTCCGGCTTTGGGAGTGATTTTCCAAGAAACTTTTAATTCCGGCTATCGGAAAGTTCTGGTGTGTGAAGGATTCCGGTTAACGGAGATATTACTGTATACTGTGGTGTGACCGTGTTGTGGAAGGTGAGTGAAGAAGGGAGTGTGTATTGTTCATGGTATTGGCCACCTTGCAACATAAGAAAGAGCTTGCAGTAAAATGAAGAGAATTATATATGTGTAACCTATTATTTATGGCAACTGTTTGTGTATGGCACAGTATTACGCAAGCTCAAGGTCTTTTCAGCAGCCTGAGCCATTATTTGAGGTATAAATGTAGTGTTAGATTCATAAAAGATTTAGTTGTAGATAATTTGTAAACAATAAAGCTTATCATTCTATTATCTTAAACTTATTTATTTTTCTAATTCTTCTTTCCCTCTTGAACTTCCTTGTCATGTGTGCTATTATGTCTAGGATTTTATTTGTGGTTCTTGCTTGAGTTTTAATTTTGCTTGTTTATTTCCAATGAATCTTTTAAATGAAGGTGTTCAACATTTATCAGTTAATGGCTGTTGTATTTTCAGTCAGTTATGTTCGATTAATATAAATTAACTGGCATGTTATTATACTAATGAGACACCTGTTGACAGTGTGGAACGACTCTTTAACCAACTGAAGGACTCGGGCCACCCTGCGCTGGAGCCACTGATAATCACTAGCAATGGGTTTCTCACTGTTCTTCGCAAGTATGCCCTTCAAGCAAGGTCATTAGGGGCCTTATTTAGTGACCACGGGTGAGTGCTTCTTGTGTGTCTCCTTCTGCTGTAATTAACCTGCTGCTTGTCATGGTCTTGGCTTTGAATAGGTCGGCTGTGAAAGTTACTACAGGTACCAAACCTCTTACAGAAATAAGTCTTATTTAAAAATGATGAAACCTGAATTTTCTGATATAGTACTGTAGTGTGTTGTTTATACTGGATAAGACTTCATGTGCAAGAATAGTCCAACTAATGTAAATCTTAAACAGCATCAGAAGGTTCAGGTGTCACCACTGTTAATTCTCTTAAGCACTCAGGAGTCTGGCACTAGTGACTTTTATACCTATCCTATTTTAAAACCATAAAATCAGCTACAAATAACCTTACTAATTTTATTATTTTTTCTGGAGATATCTGATTCAACTTCAAACATTGTCGTGTGGTAGGAGACAGGTATTGGGAGAATTTTGGTACAAAGAGTGGCTAGACTTTCTTCTGTCTTCTCATTGTTCAGCAGCCAGCAGTTAAACTGCCATCTACTGTGCAAGCACAGCTGCTTGTGTTTCCAGTTACTGTTAGGAAAAAAAAAATGTAAGGTTTACACTGCTAATGTCTGATGCTGAAAATTGTATACTATACACTTAATTATTTGATCTTAAAACATAAAATCATCATGTTTGTACCATGGGAGTGTTGGCCTTGTGTTAGGTATGTGGAGGCTGTCGAGCTTATGATATGGGAAGAGTATGTGAGTATGAATTAATAGTGACTTGAATGATTGGTTTGAAATAAGTTGGAGGAGTTCATAAGGTGTGTGTGTGATGTCAACCAGGTTATTTGATGTCATCTTGGATGGATCAGTAAGTGATATGAAAGTCAAAATGGATGACCATATACTAAACTACATGGCATCACACAGTTGGAAGCTGTCACATTTATTGTACTTGATTGATGGTGTGCTTTCTTTCTAAAAAATCAGTTGTTTTTAGGTGGAGAAAAATCCACTAGTACTCAATATACAGAAAAATAAGAAGCCTTCAAGAAAGGTAGAATATTAAAACATTATAACTACAACAGCACTGTGACTAAATTATGTAATGTGTGTTTACTCTACGTAATATTTGTTTACTACAAGATCAGCAGGTTCACTTGCCCTCAAAAAAAGAAACCCTTGCAATGTGTTTTAAATGTCTCAAATGAGTCCAGCTACTTCTGGGAGACCAGTAACTACTATAGTTGTATACTTAAGGTGTTGTGTGGGTAAAAGATTGAGCTACAAAAGAAGGTTCACACATGTGGTCAAGTTCACTAAGATGCCATGGATGACCATCACTAGGTACTGCTACACATGGATCACCACCACTAAGTGCTGCAACATTTGAATGGTAAGATGTAAGTTATGATTTTTTCTTTTCTTTATTTGCAGGTTAGCTCTTAGTGTAGTGCTAGATAACATCCCAAAGTTGAAGAAGTCTGGACGGTGTGTGCTTCACTCCATGGAGGGTGTGAGATGCCGTCCTGGTGGGCGATCGTGGCGGGACGTGTGGGAAGTGATGGACACCACGTGCCGTGACACTGTCACACTTGTTTGTGCCGATCACCTTTTGACCACACTGGACAACTACCTCCGCAAGCATAGATTCTGCCAGGAGTGCAAGAACAAGGTGACGTAACCACTACTTGAGGGTAGTCATATTTTTAATGAATTTGTTTCTGATTATTTGAGAGGATTTTCCAATTATTATTAATTTGTATGTGTTTTGTGTGTGTGTCTACACACACACACACACACATATATTTACAATAGTACAGGTAAACGAAATTACTGCCTCTAAAACGAATGGCTCCCCGTCCCAGCTGCGAAAATGCCAGCAACTTTAAAACTACCCACAGACATTCTTGGGTGCATCCAGGGTGTCATCCACTAATAATAGAGGACCGCGAAATAAAAATTCACGAACTTTGGGGGGAGGGGGGGGGGGCTGTATATACAGGAGTACCCCTTATTGCAACGGAAGCATTCCTAAAAGTCATAAATCATTACAAATAACAAACTTGAGAATATTATGGGAATTTTCCCCATAAGAATTATAATGTAAATGTGTTCACCAGCTAGCAACTTTCACCACGTATTTTCTGATGTACACTCCTCATTATCCAAGAATATTAGGGACCAGGGTCGCGTTTATACTGTAGTATCAGTAAACGTGAGGATTAAATACAATTTTTACTTGTTGATGGTTCCTGTGTTGTTCCTAGACATGCATTTACTTCTGAGGTAGGTGGGTAATGTTTGATTACCTTGGAATAGCAATCCTGCTTTGCCAGCTAAGAAGGTACTCCGTTTCCAATGTAAAAGTGGGTTGGCACAAGTAACTTTGATTCCAGTATAAATACCATTTTGAGTTTCTTGCTAGGGGGGATCACACGAAGGAGGAATAATGATAGGATGTTTGGGCAGTGTCATAAGAACAGTACAGTAAGTAAAGTGTTTGTAAAATAGTACATGATCAGTCATATTGGCAAGTGAGAGACCAATTGATGTTGTAAACACTATGTGGGGACTGTAGATGCTGAGGGTGTATGTTGTACATCTAGTACTTGTGCTCTCACAATACTTCCCATAATGCTGGCTTGCACTTAATTTTGCCTGACCACTTATTCTGTGCAGCTATGAACTTCCCCTTTACAGTGCAAATTTTTTTATGGGAAAAGATAATTCCTGCTGTGTTGAGAACTCGTGCAAAGCAAGTTATTAACATATTTAACATTTATTTACTTTGGCCATTACTATTAATATAAGTGACTTACATTTTAGGTACATAGAGCATTTGATATCCTAGTTGGCCACATCACTATAGATCCAGCCAAGGAAAAGGGGTATGTTGCCTCCCTGTATGCAGGAATTCGTCGGTGTGAAGCCAAGAGACACATTCATGTGCCTGCTGACACCGACTATATCACCCATATCATCACGAGGGCAGAACCTGAGCTACAAGGAAGGTGAGGATTGTGTTTTTCTTAACCTTCTTTATTCCAAGTTAGAGTTTTTTTTGTAGAATTCATTAATTTTTACACTTTCACTCATGAACTGACAAATTTTCTTATCTTAATCGTGGCTTTACTTACTCTTAAACATCCTGCACATGATACTTTTTTAATTGATGTCCCTCACTTCAAAGAACAAGTACTTTATTACCTATCAGCTGGTGTATGGCTGAAACAACAAGTTGGAGCACTTCACACTCACACACATTTCTTTATATTATCAATATACACAAAAAAGTATAGAAAGGGAATCACCGATCTCGTTATTTAGAGTTTCATAACATTCTCGATTCATAATAATCTTAATTGTCAGGTTGCCTTTAAATGGGAGTTATTTCCATCATCTAATATAATTTTAAATATGCTCTCCCACCAGACGTGAACGACATGCAAAGACATTAGAAATTGCCCAAGAGGAGGTGTTGACTTGCTTAGGACTGTTTTTGTATGAACGACTTCAGCGAATCCATACACGAATGCGCGAAGAAGAACAAACTTGGGACATCCTCTTCCATGTCGCACTGGATACTCTTAAAAGAAATTTTGAGGTAAGACTTGGCTAGAAATTTTTGTCTTTGTGCTTGGGGTCCAGTTGGGTCTCGTTTCCTTGAAGTTAAAGAGCTTCTAGCCATATTTAGAGCCCAGCTTATATTGAAAGTAGGTTTCACAGACCTGGCTGCCTGTTAAGGACATTCTGGATACAATAAACAAGGAGGCTGCATTGTCGGCACTACACTTGACCACCTCCATTTCCCAACTTATATAGGTAGGTACTGTACTCAAGTTCAGTTGGATGTACTGGGATTGAACCATCAACCCTTGGGACAGGAGGCAAGTGCTCTGGCTATTCATTCAGCTGCTGCTCTATGAGAGCTTAGTGTATGGTTTACTCTAGCCAGGATGGAGGATCAGTCAAAGTTTTCATTTAAAGTATAGTTTGACGACGTTATGATAGGTGTTGAGGCATGTGTCGAAAAAGTCAGTTGGAATTCTCAGAAGCAATCATAGAAACTTTGTTAAAATTTCAGCATTGAAGACCATTGTTATCTGAACTTTGCATAAGAAGGAATCAGTGGGTTAAATCGCTAACTTTAAAATTTATTGCATATTTATTATTATTATTTTGTCATTATGGTAATACCTCAAATAAATATAGTAGCATTGTCTCTATTGTTATCAGTATTTAAAGAAGTTTACTATGTATATTAGGTGAAATTGATTTGGTTTATTAAAGATAGGAAAAAGAAGGATGTGAAAAGAGGAATGAATACTTACAGGTAGTGCAGAAATCGGTTACAATAATTTGGATCTTTTGTATTTGTATTGTTGTCATACTTGTTGTTTGTGGAGGAAAGGCAAAGCTACTCTATACTTTGTTGTATCAAGTGTTTGTCATTTTACCTTCAGCTGTATGTGGAGGACAAGCAGGGCTACTCTAAGTTTGAGATGTTGTGTGAGGAACTGCAAAGACAAGAACTCAGAGAAAAAGCCAAGAAAGAAAAGAAGAAGAAGAAAAAGAAGAACAAGAAGAATGAAGAAGGCAAGGAGAACACTTGTCTGGTAAGTAGTAAGGAGAGAACTGGGGAAGGGATTACGGGAACAGAGAACAAAAGAAATATATCGTGCTTGGCAGTCTTGTATCACCTGTGCTGTCACCACCTCCCTAGAGAGGAACTTCTCGGGGAGCCAAGTGTCATTTACAGATTTAAATAGTATTTATGGAATTGATTAACTTAATTTTATATTATATTGTAGTAAGAGTAAAATAATACAATATCCAGGAGTAAAACAAAACCCCCAATTCTCACCTGAAATCGAAATGTTATAAAAAAGAGGCTTTTGGTTGGCCAGCATATTTTCTTGACATGACTGCTAATATTTTCTGCCCCAAATTCAGTTAAGCTTTGTATAGTACACCACACACCACCTAATAGCTTCCTAACCATTCATAACACAAAACAGACACCATTAACATAACCTTTGCAATTTGGAAGTTAATGGCATCCTGAAGGCTGCTGAGTCCATGGGGAATTAAGCAGTGCAATAAAGGCAGCAGCAACAAGATTTCTGACAGGGTGTAAATATTGTTGGCGACATCTTAGTGACTTTGCATGACAAGTAAGGCAGTTAAAAAAGACAGTTGATAGTGAATGAGGGAGTGTGTGTGTTGTTGGTTCCAGCTACCCTTTGTGGCAGTGTCCAAGAACTTTTAAGAGAAAATGAATAATTTGTTATATTTTTATTGTGTACTTATCTGTTTATGTACCTAAATGTGAGTTAAGACTACTCTGCTAATTTAATTTAATTTTCTAGTGTGAGGAGGAGGAAGGTGGTGGATGCCGGGAGTGTGAACTAAACATGTCATCATCATCCTGCTCAAGCCAACGTGCAACTCTCATCAATGCCACCAACAAACAGGTAGGTCATAGTCACGTGAAATTAACATCAGGAATTATTTAAAAGAAAAACCTTACACAGTTCAGTACTCTTAATTAAATAATTATTTTGACATTATATGGTGCTCAGAGCCCTATTTATATCCTGATTTGACTTTTTTCTGTATTTTGGTACATATTCCTCCCTATTTATTCATTCAAAATAACTTTGCATCTCCCTATCACCCCTTTGTTCTTAAGTGTACTAGAAGCTTCATGGGGAATGGAAACAAAAGTAGTGATTATAATAAGTAGAGGAAGGAGACCAGGAGAGAGGAATGTTAGTTTGAGTGAAGATAGAATGGTGGAGGGGAGGTGTTTCAAATATCTCAGGCATATATGTCAGTGAATGTAACAGTTAGTGATGTAGAGAATCATAGAGTAAATGAAGGAAAGAAGATGGTATGTGTATTGAGAGAGATGTGGAGAGAGAGACCTGTAACAAAAGAGGCATTGGTAGTGATGTACAGGGGAATATTTGAACTAGCAACATGGTACAGTATGAAGCATGGATTGTGGATGTGTGAGAAAGAAGAGTATTGGAAGTAGAGAGGGTGTGTTTGAGAGCATTACAATAATTCCTGTAAAGTGCTCAATTTTATCTGCGTGCTCGGTTCATGTTACGTGACGCATTGTAATTTTGTGGTAATGCTTAAATTGCCATTTGGTCCTGGCTTGATTATGTTGCCAAGTTACTGCCTTGTGTACACTGTTTAGTTTATTGCACATTTATTATATTAGTGATTTGGATGTGGACTTAAGGATTTTCTTCCTTCGTTCATCATTGTTCAATGAAGTGTTTGTTTATAGATGGGAGAAAAGGGTTTAGTGTCCTGTGGTGTAATCAGTACCACGTATAGGAAAAAGGAATCCTTATCTCTTGATGCTAATGTTGGAAAGTCATCACATTATTTCTCATTGTTTTATTTTTAAATTTTGTCATATTTCTAATTGTTTTTTTTAATTGCCATAATTTCTCGTCGTGATATTTTACCGGTAATCATTTTATAAAATTTACCAGAATGACACCGTAATTAATGAAGTTTATGTCGTGTATGAAGTTTTCAGTGACACAAAAATAAGTCATGAAACAAAATTAAAGTTTTTAGCTCCATGAAAATACATGAGCTACTGTAGAATAGTTTTCGTGCAATGCTGTAGTTGTTGCCACTACATGTATTTTGTTTTATTGCACATCATTTATTATCATGGCTTTGGGTTTGTGCTTGGGGATAATTCACCCTCTTATGATGTTCAATACAGCCCAATATCTGCTTCTGGAGTGAAAAAAGTCCAGCATTCTTTAGCTCAGTTCCTACTTAACTAAGACTAGCAAGAATGAGATAATATCAAACTTTCAAGTTTTTTCTTTTCATATGTGTTGCTTCTGTCACTTTTTCAATCTGTTAAGTACTTGGAAGATATGGTGAAAAGTATATGATAAGGTATTAGAGAAGCAGGAAAGTACTCAGTTCTGGGCTGCTGGCTTTAAGAGGCTTATGGCATTTTTTCTCCATTATTAAAATATTATGGTAATACCTACATAAGACCATAAGAATGGAGGAAACTGCAGCAGGCCTATTGGCCCATACTGGGCAATCCCATTTACACCCAACCCCTATCTCTCATATATCCATCCAACCTTTGTTTGAAGCTATCCAGCATATTTGAGTTAATGATGATGTTTGGTAACTTGTTCCACTCATCCACTACTCTATTTCCAAACAAGTGTTTACCTGTTTCGCGCCTAAATCTAAATTTGTCTAATTTAAAACCATTGTTACGAGTTTGCTCCTGGTTGGATAGTTTGAGTAACTTTGTATAGTAGCACAGTTTGTACCATGTTCAAGGTACTCCATGATAAGTCCATGCATGGTGTGGAAACTGATGTGTGTCGGGTGAGTGAGATACAAAGAATAAGGAATATACTGTAAATAGTATCAGATGTGAGAGTGAAGGAGTGGTGGACTTCTTACCAACTTGGATTGCTAAGGTATTATGCATATATTGAGAGAATGGAAAGTGGAGGATGGTGGAGAGGGATTGGAAGACTTGGATGGTTAGGTGAAGGCGGTTCTAGATGGAAGGGGAATGGACATCCAAGAAGTAAAGGTGTGTCAAGGGGTTTATGTAGAAAGATGTGTAATACTGTACTTGGTTGTATATGTGGAGAGACAACTGCTTTGAGGTGGATATTTCCTTCTTTTTGAAGGTCAGTTTAAGTAATTTAGAGTTCGTGTTGATTTTGATCACATTACCACTGTGTATTTGTACCTGCAGGTTGGCAGTGAAGTCTTCTGTCGAGGAGGTTCTCATTTAGGGCCTCCTCTAAATAGTCCTCACTTAGGTGCTGCACTAGGTAATGGTCACATACCTCCTGATGGAGCAGGAGTCATGCCAAGGTGTAGTAGTGAATGTGGCAGTATGGAGGCCAGTGATATAGGCAGTGAACGTGGGAGCAGTGAAGAAAAGGAAAGCTGTGACTCTAGCCCTGACCCTTACCATCACCATCACCACCAGCTTGACCACCACCACAGTCATCACCATCGCCAGCACTGCAACTCGCCACACCCTCTAGAGTGCACTGCTTCAACAGACTCACTTGTGTCTAGATGCTCACAGGTAGGTGCATCACTACTTTTAATTGGAATACAGTGCTAAAATTTTTGAAAAAACAAAGAACTGTATGGTATAAGAATTTTTTTTAGCCCCACCAAAGGAAATTAGAGGGCTTTTAAGATGGTGCCTGTCAGTCCATCTCAGTCCACTTTTGAAACATAACTGATTATTTTCAAATATCTTGGTAAAAGGGTGTATAATAATTAGCCTAGTAGTAAAGAGGTGCCTTATGCTTAAAAAGGATACCGTAGGATAGAAAAACTGGCTGGAAATTGATGAGTGCAGTGCTGTACTGAAGAGAGGTTTAGACTAGTGTTTATCCACCCAATCCCTCATGGCTCATCAGGCCTACATGACCCACATTCACTATCACAAATTTCCATATACAGTACCTACCTGGCTACCCTGCATATTATATCAGGAAAAACTTGCACAAATACAGGGGAAAAATTTGCACTGTACAAGTGTTATTCATCATTGACTCATTGATTATTACACTTACTGTATTGCTAATAACATTATTTGTAATCACAAGTTTGTAAAGTCAACTCCTCCATTAAGTTCTTGTAGAATTTTCATAAAACCTGGTATAATGGTATAGGATAGGTACAGTATAATAATTTGTATATGCAAAGATTGTTCCTCAAATAATTTTTGGCAGAGTTATTACAGTTTCTAATCCATTCGCCCAAAGCCAAGGGAACATCACCTTCAAGTGACTCATTTTATATTTAGGGATCCCGAGATGGAGGATATTGCTCAGCCCAGGGGTCAGGAGGCTCTTCCAGGGACTCATCAGAAGTAGCTTGTGGTGAGGGTCTGTGTTCTCACCATCATGATGACCATGTAGATGATGCTCTCCACCACCACCATCATCATGACCACCACAACCACACAGATGACCTTCCAGACGATGACCAAGGGGACCACTTACACCCACCGCTCTCGCCGTCACTCACACGCCACTCGCAGCCTTTTACTCTGTCTTTGCAGCAGATGTTAGATGTAGGTTTTTATTTTGATTGTGTTCTGCTTGTAGATCTATTAATACATATCGATGTCTCACAGTTGTGTATCTATATTTTAATTTGTTATTATGTCCAGTGCCTATGTTCAGGTAATATGCTTCTGTGACTAAAAGGTAACATCCTTTATGCCATTTTCCACAAGTTGTGGGGTGACAACCCTTTGGACAAGTTAGGTTTCCTATACTCGAGAAGATATTGATGTTGCTGGTATGCAGCTCAGTGCACACCACAGTACAATATTACCCTGTGAATTTGCCTGCTCATGGAATTGAACCTTTGTCTCATAGTTTTAGAGTTTTGAGGATTACCAGCTGGGTTTGGGAGCTCCTCTTGTTCCAGTAATTATTGTTTCACCTCCACCCGACATTGCAATATTTAATCAACAACCACCAATAGAAAAACATGATAGTATCATACTGGACACAGACTTGCCCATCAAACATATCAGTATCATCATTGCCAAAGCTTTATAGAAACTGAGTACTTTTATAACATCGAACAACTTTTTTTTTTAATAAAAGAACCATTAATAACAGAATATAAATTATGCAATCGCAACACCTGCCTTCATCAGCCAGAAACTCAAAAGATCCAAAACGATGCCTCAAATCGGTAAGAGATTGCACTAAAGCCTCATACATTCTGAATCAAGAATTCTCCTCAGGCAAGACCACTTTGACATCATGGACACAACACTCCACCCATTCCTGTAATTTCTGGTTGAACTACCCCACACCCAAAAGACAAAAATGCATCACATTACTCCTACACACACTGCCTTATCCCATCAACACCTCTCAACATGACTATCCACAAATATATACACAACTGTTTACCAACCTCTTCCATCTCGAGACTAAAATTGAACAGCATACTAAACACACCTTTGCCATATATCCACATTTCACACACTATTATCCCCAGAGAAATGAGAGCACATATCACCAGGGTATGTTTTGGTTGTTATTCTTACCTAAACCAATATGAATTCAATATGCAGCTAATCTAAAGTCTACATTATAGTGCTGCCTTATTCACTACAACTTATCTGCTCGGTTCTTGCTCAACATTTACCCAACACAGACAATCCTCCAACATAACACCACAAAAGATCACAGAGTAATCTGTGGTCATTGATGAATACCAGGGATTCACCTGCTTAACAACCATGTGAAACAGAGACCACAAATATAACAAGGTTTGGGAGTTTTAGTGCTACCAGATTGGCTATGTTGCTCTAATTTACAGGTATATTGTAAATTTTGCTTTGTATCATTCAGGACTCAAGGTGTGAGGATGAAGAAATTCCCGAGGCAGAAGTACGAGCTTGGCGTGCTCGTTTAGGAGTTGTTAAGCAAAAACGGGCCGAATTGCGGCAGACTCTACGGCAACGCTTTCAGCAGTTATGCCATCGGGGTTGTGGGGTTGACTCAGGCTCATCAGTGACTGGGCCGAGTCATCATTGTCACCATCACATGCAGTCTCCTCATAGTGCCCTGCCTGTGCATCACCTCACTGCCACCAAGCCTCGTTAAGTCAGTCACAACTTGTCCAAGAACAAGATCACTAACTGTCTTATTATGGTTGAAGTGGGTATTATTTTAAGTGTTAGCGAAGAGCTGATGGCCCTCATGCAAATTTATACAACTGGTCATTAATTTTGTTTCTGAGGTTCAACATCTTTGGCCCTGTTATTTATAAAAGATATTGATTCAAAGGAAGAATGCAGTAATAAAAATAATAAGATATAAAAGATATAATGCAGTAACAGTTATAGTGAAGGTGTATATATATATATATATATATATATATATATATATATATATATATATATATATATATATATATATATATATATATATATATATATATATATATATATATATATCTATATATATTATATTATATTATATATATATATATATATATATATATATATATATATATATATATATATATATATATATATATATATATATATATATATATATATATATATATATATATATATATATATATATATATATATATATATATATATATATATATATATATATATATATACATATATATATATATATATATATATATATATATATATATATATATATATATATATATATATATATATATATATATATATATATATATATATATATATATATATATATATATATATATATATATATATATATATATATATATTGCTGCTTTATCACCATTTGCAGTTGAAAACAACCAAAATCAAAGATGCCATGTACTTTAGTTTGCTAATTTGATTTTATGAGTGAAACTCCATCAAAACTGTGACAAAATGGTAAGTAATTATTACTGAAAAAAGAAAATGCTCAGAGTAAAGTAGTGAAAGACAGCACCTCTGATTTAGGGTTTAATATTTTGAGCTATTTGTACTAAACTGCAAAATTGTCTTGAGTAATCACACCATGTAAAGCTTTTTTATTTACAGCAATGTTGACATGGAGATTGTTGATCTGCTGGAGGTATTACCTGGTACACAGTATTTCAAATATATGGGTCTCGCTTGATCATGAGATGAAGTACAGCACATTATGATTTATTTGCTCTTTGCTAGTTAAGTCCTATAATGGAAGCTCTTTCTATAGTTGAGAAATTCAATATTATCTGCCAATGAGATAATTCAGCATTGATGAATTATTTTGAAACATTCCTCCTCTTATATAGCATATTATGGATATAGAACATGTGCATGGAATTTTAGTGCATTTGTGGGGTTAATTTCAAAAGCTTTTTATAATTATTTTATTCAGGAATTGCACTAGATGATGTTACGATTCAAATGTGATACAGTAATTCAGTGGAACTTGAGGTGAAGGAAAGGGTATGTTTATTTTGGTTAGACTGTCTGATAAGAGCAGCTAGACTAATACCTCTTGTTTCTTTTCTTTTCTGTTATGATGGCAATGCCACTTTATGTTTAGTGTCAACGGCGACAGCACCACCTGTTCCGTGCATGATGGTCGTCAATCTATAGCCTTTGCAACCAAGTCTTTTTGGGGGCTTGTGCATCTTTATTTTCTCCTGTTGTTCTGTCTTGTCTTGAGTCAGTTGTTTATATCTTACAGTGATAAAATTTTGAGGTTTAGTGTCTACATGTTTATGTTCCCTCAAAATATGACAGAGATGAGTTATGGCTAAGTGGAACTCTAATTATTATTATGATTTAAGAATGAATTTGCGATGATGAGCTTTAAAATATTCAAAGGAGATACAGTATGCTCATTTTCTATTATATCATGTGATGAACTAGAGTAATAACATTGCCAGCTATGGTTGTACATAGCTGAGGAGACATTTATCTGGTGAAGCACACACATACACACACACTCACTCTTGGTAGAAAGAGATGCGACCACCCTGCCACCTTCTACCCATCTGCGGCAGAGTGTTTACGCAGTGCTTACGCAGGTGACAGTGATGATTAAGATACCCACAATTATAACTATCCCACAGTTGGGAATAAAACTAACACATGGCTGTGTTGAATGACTGCCTCTTGTGAGTGGCATGGGAGGCATGGTGTTAGGTGTTGGGACAAAGAAATATGAATATCTATAATAAAGAAATGCTGTTGTACTGGGGCTTTATTATTACCTCTTTGTTAACAACCTGTACTTTAACCCCTTTTTTTACTGAATAAATGACCTGCCATACACAATACACATGCATAATGACAATGGTACATGTTAATACATCAGGAACGGGTTAAGCTGTAGTGAAATAAAATGAAAGTATTGCAGTATATGATGAAGAGCTTAGATTAGGAAGTGGTGTGTGTGTCTCACAAATAGTGGTCTAGTTTTTGCTGCATGAAGGAAGTACAGTACAAGGTGTCCTCATTTATACCTATTGTACTATGCAAGAACTAGATTACTAGATTTACATATACTGTACTATACACCGGTGCTTTTCAACCAGGGTGACCCGGCTCAGTACGGTGTCCAAGGTTGACCCTGCTCGGTACGGTGCCCAGGGGTGACCCAGTTCAATATGGTACCAAGGAATGACCCGACTTCCTGGGGTGTCCCAGAATGTATCGGACATTCAGTTTCTGAATTTTATTTATTTAAATTTTTTTTTGCATTCTTGGACAAGAATACCTCCAGCATAGGCAAACAAAATCTACTGCTCAACTAATTTTCTGTTGTCACTTTCCCAACATTAAAAAAGGGAAATTGCAGTGCACTTTCTCTTCTGTCAATTGGTTGGTGTTCAAGCCATTGGGGTAGCAATTTTTCAAAAGGGAAATGAATTTATTGAAGAATTACATTTGGATTGGACAAATTGTGTGTGTTACTACAGATGGGCAGCAGCAATGACGGGAGCTCAGCAAAGAGTAGTAGCGTGGATCAAAGCTGTCTCCCCTGAGTGCTGCGCCACCCATTGTATCATTGACCGTGAAGTTGTGTGAGCATGATCTTATATGTGAACCATTTTGGCTGTTGACCAGTGTTATAGGAGGCTGATCTGTCTATTTTTTGTGGGTCTGAGTTTGTCTGAATTTTGGATCAATGGTGGCTGTGCCTGTTTTGAAAAGTTTTGGGAAGTAACCTGTAGCTAGTTGTGTGTTGTAGAGAGGTAGGTGATGGCTGTGACTGCTTGTGGGGGCAAGTGTTTTAGGATTTGGTGTCCTATGTTACTGTCACTTGGTAAGGATGTGTTCTGGTGTGAGTGTGATGTTGTCTTTTGTGTGTTTTTCTGTAATTCTGTCATGTAGTCTTCGTGTTTGTGCAGTGATATTATTTATGTGATTTAGAGATGAGTGGGATGGGGGGTGCAAGATGTGTTGCCAGTATTGTTTTAAAATTTGTGCTTCTTCAGCTGGCTCTCTGATTCATCTGCCGTGAACTTGCAGTTAACAGTAATAAAAGGGAGGCCGAGCTGTACCCCCTCAGCTTGGCAATTCTTTGCCAGAACTCTCGGTGGTTCTGTGTCCTGGGTGACCTCTATGAAGCTTGCCCAGTGCACTTGGTGGTCATGGCGGAGGATGTTGATGCTGTGTGTTCTTAGCATGTTGATGTCTTCGTGAACTGGTGTGAAGTTGTGCTTCTACTGTTCAAATTGACGTCTGTAGCAGTTTATTGGACATTGTTTTCTTGTAAAGGGTTGATGAAATATGTTTTTCTTGTATTGCTTTGGTGATTGTGTTAAAAGTTGTGTTTCTGTTTCCTTTATATTTCCTGTGGGTTGATGTTTGGGATTGAGTGTGTAGTGTTGTTCAGAAAGTGTGGAGTTAAATGTGTCCCAGTCTGCATGTTGGTATTGTGGTTTGGGTGCTGGGAGAAGGATGGGGTTGTTGGAGAGGTGTAGTGTGGTCTGAGCCTGATACGGGGCCTGGTGAGATTTGGTGTTGAAATTGAAGGGCTTGTGTGTTGTGATGACGGTGTCTGGGGCATCTCTGCCATTTCCAGTGTAGCATATAGGGAAGAAGGGTCTAATGTGGTGGAGATTTTTGTGTGTGATCAGTGTGTGTAGTTGTTGGCCATGGGGATTGGTGCAAATGTGTTAGAATGTCATGTGTTTCACGTTAAGGTCGGTCACGAGGCCGGGGTGGAGGCCGTGGTGGAGGACCGCGGCGAAGACGAACCCAGACAACACGTGAGCGTGATCCACGTGTACCACTGTGACGACTGCGGTGGCATGTTCACCTCCCACGACCTCTGGGCCGCTCACATGAAGACCTGTCCTCCGTGAACCACCCGACCTTGTCACTAGTACAGGACCTGGTAACTACAAGGGGTACATCTGCTGTCTCATTAATAAGTGTACCCTTGTACCCTGGTCACTCAAAAGTGGTCACTCATCAGCTGTACTGTACCTTAGTCACTCATCAGCGGTACCCTGGTAACTTATCAGCTGTACCTCAGTCACTCATCAACTGTACCCTGGTAACTCATCAGCCGTACCCTGGTCACTCATCAGCCGTACCCTGGTAACTCATCAGCTGTACCCTGGTCACTCATCAGCTGTACCTCAGTCACTCATCAACTGTACCCTGGGGTTGGGTCTTGTGGGGCAGACCTGACACGACTGATGGGGTATTATTTTTCCAGGATTGAGAGAGTCATCTGGTTACCTGTCATTCCTGGAAGTGTTCTGGACCAATTGTTCCAGCTAATACTTGTGTATTTAACGTTAATAACCATACAGGTTGTGTATAAATTATCTAAATGGATGTATACTTTTTGAACACCCTGTATAGAGATTATAAAATGTGACAATTAATGAGACATATTTGGACACCCTGTATTTCTGGACTTCCTTCAAATTCTACCCAAAATATTAACTCAGGTTTGTGTTGTGGGTCAGTTGCTGTTATGGCCGCACATGTGATGCATGACACATATGGTCTTAGTCACACACATGGTCTTACAGTCACACATATGGTCTTACAATCACACATGTGGTCTCACAGTGTACACACATGGTCTCACAGTTTACATATGGTCTCACAGTGTACACACATGGTCTCACAGTGTACACACATGGTCTCACAGTATACACACATGGTCTCACAGTATACACACATGGTCTCAGTGTACACATATGGTCTCACAGTTTACATATGGTCTCACAGTGTACACACATGGACTCACAGGTTGCTGATCTGACTTTCTGCTTCATTTACACACAATTGCAGGGTCTCAATTGTCTCTCTTACCATTGACAACACAACATACATATAGTGATTCTCACTATTGATCTTTTTTTTCTTTTTTGTATTTATAGTTTTTTATTATT